GGGTGGGAAGTAGGGCAGTCGCGATAACCCCAATATCGCAATACCAGCTATACTATTACTATTGACCAGCAAACCGCAGAGGAATACAAGAACCGCAGCAACCGCGATTTTTGCGTGTTTTATTTTTTCGTAAGGTTATGCCCTTCTCGTTTTACACTTCACGCAAGTGGACTGAATATTAAAAGTTTTAATGTTATGAAATGTGTTAATTCAACATGCAGTAGCTTGGTCAAATGAGAGCTTGAAGAACACTTGCCTTTTTGTCCCACTGTTGATGAAGATAACGCAAAAGGATATTAGTCTTCTCTGTGACAATGACTGCGAGGAGAGAGAAAAAACCCCTCAAATGAGGCTTCAGACTGAAACCAAAGTGTTTTGTGAGAAACATCAAGTTTCACTTTTAATAATGTAACACAGATCTACATTTTAAAAGGTTGTGCAGCAGCATTCATCTCAGCACTCACTCTGTTCGGAGGGATACTCTCGTGTAGGCAGATACACTGACGGCCTTCTGTTCTGTAAGACAGAAAAAAATGGGCTGTTAATGATTGAACCAAACCCTGAAAATGTAATTCACAGCTGCAGTGTGAAAATGCTCAATGAATATTCAGAAAGATGATGGTGAACAGCTCACCAAGGACACTGAAAAACAGCAAATCTTACCGATGCTTTACATACAGAGTCCGCGTGAAATCTGCTGAAGTTTGTCTTGTTGTACACAGGTAGACCTTTTAGGAAATCTGCCTTCAAAACGTTCAGGAACAAAAAGGGGTTAAAATCAAACGATTACTAGAAATATACCAGAAGTGCTAAATGAACACACTTGACATTAGACAGATCGTTGTCCAGAGGGGGAAGACACATTTTCCCGAGTTCACTTCAGTTTTAGTTGGAATTAAGGACATGATTCTATTGAACACTGTATCCCAAAGCCGCATTTCAATCTCTAGAGATCTACTGACAGTTTACATACAGAGACACACCATTATTGCACATGACATAATCCCTGAAAAATATCAATGGCTCACTGATTGACCATTAAACCCATCTGCCAATGATCTGACAGATCCAAAGCATGACTTATTTAGCTAGCAATCAATGCCAGGAGGGGACGTAAGCTCTAATAGAAATGCACAAATAATAAACACACATCTAAATAATATCTATGCTGAGAGAGTAAACTCGAATCCAGATGGAGGATGATGCATGTCAACCTTTGGGCGTTGCCAGTCTAGTCCACTAGGTGTGTAGAGGATATGAGCTTAATCGAGTTCATCGAAGTTTTTTAATAATATTTAATAAAACAAAACTAGTCAAATGAACATATTCAGGTCGTCACTGTTGAACAAAAGCTTTGGCAAGTCTCGCTCGCGCTTCTCTCAATGCTAACACATTAGCATGACATGTGTTAAAGTGATTTGAAGATTGCTCAAACACAAAATCATCTGATAACCATGAATAAACATCGTATAACCTGATTTAAACATGCTAATGTGTTTATTTCAGGCTGCTGTTGTGATAAAAGTGTATATATGAACTATGTAATATGAAGCGGCCTAGCATGCTAACTCAACGAGCAAACCAGCCTGTCAGCTGAACGCGACCAAAATCTCACCGATATAGTTCAGACTTCAGCATTTAAGATGATATTTCAGCGCCCGGTCCTTTAAAAGTACAGTTACTCAGCTGTGACGTGCAAATAAGATGAAGTTATGAGTGCAGAAACTTACTTTGTCCATGGTGAGGTCGGTTCAGTCCTGTAGGTGTGTTCGTGCTCAGACAGGCCTGAACACTGACAGAAATCAGAGATTTGAAGCCGGTAACACTCACTCGTACTACTGAATACGACACTAAAACACAGAAATACGCGTGAACACAAATATACAGCAGCTGACGTTATAGATCTCACAGATACCGACTGACTAGCGACTAGCGTCTCGCTCTCTCTCTCTCTCTGTGTGTGTGTGTGTGTCTCTCTCTCTCTCTGTGTGTGTGTCTCTCTCTCTCTCTCTCTCTCTGTGTGTGTCTCTCTCTCTCTCTCTCTCTCTCTGTGTGTGTCATTGAACACGACACTAAAACACAGAAATATGTGTGAACACAAATATACAGCGGCTACACACCACAGTACAGCCTCTGCTACAGCTCACAGCTAACATTACCGAGTGACAAGCACCCCTCCCTCTCTCTCTCTCTCTCTCTCTCTCTCTCTCTCTGTGTCTGTGTGTGTGTGTGTGTGTGTGTGTGTGCTGTGATTTTCTGTCATGTGTAGTACCTAGTAGCTACCAAATAATCTTTACAAAAAATCACCATGGTAACCGTAATGTCCTTCAGTATACAGTAGCTACAGCCATTGTTGTTGCTACAATAAAGATGTGGTAACCTGGTATTAAACACAGCTGTTATCAAATTAAGAGAAAAAAAAAAAAAAAAAAAAAATTAGTTCATTAATGAAAATAAAATTTTTTTGCCTGTGCGACGGTTCTGACTGGTGCATTGATTTTATTTTTATTTTAGGGTAGCACAATTTTAATTATGTTCAATAACATACAGGTATTAATATACTGGTATTATGTTCAAAAATTGGGTACGATTTTATGGAGGAGGGATTTTTTTTCATAAACTGTGAATATTCTAAACAATATTGTAACTTTTTTTTTTTACATTTTAAACAGAAGTGTGGAAAAGCAGGTATGTGTTTTCCTGAAGCTCAAACAGCACAGCACTAGTAATGCCAAGACCATGGGTGTGATACTAAACATGCATGAACTGATAAAAATATATGCTTTCAATGCAGTGTAAGTTTCTTCAGATAAACCAAATGCATAAATGTAAATATCCTAAAAGGGTAGTTGAGAAAGTTACATAAAATAATAAATAAATACAATAGATAGATAGATAGATAGATAGATAGAACATTAGAGTGGGGTAAAATGCCCCCCTATTGTTTTTTCCCAAAATAACCAGATAGTCAAGATACATTTTTGTTGTTGCTATGGACTACGTTGACAAGAGTGATGTAGAAGTATTCACCTCGAAGCTTACATTGGTGATGAACCTGAGAGAAAACAGATTTCACAGTAAGTGATCTCATTTTCAGCAGTAAGAAAACAAAATGTTTAAAAGCTTGTTGTTTTGTAAAAACATCACAATTATACAGTATCTCACAGAAGTGAGTACACCCTTCACATTTCTGTAAATATTTTATTATATCTTTTCATGTGACAACACTGAAGAAAGGATACTTTGCTACAATGTAAAGTAGTGAGTGTACAGCTTGTATAACAGTGTAAATTTGCTGTCCCCTCAAAATAACTCAACACACAGCCGTTAATGTCTAAACCGCTGGCCACAAAAGTGAGTACACCCCTAAGTGAAAATGTCCAAATTGGGCCCAATTAGCCATTTTCTTTCCCCGGTGTCATGTGACTCATTAGTGTTACAAGGTCTCAGGTGTGAATGGGGAGCAGGTGTGTTAAATTTCTCATACTGGTCCCTGAAAGTTCAACATGGCACCTCATGGCAAAGAACTCTCTGAGGATCTGAAAAAAAGAATTGTTGCTCTACATAAAGATGGCGTAGGCTCACTTTTGTGGCCAGCGGTTTAGACATTAACGGCTGTGTGTTGAGTTATTTTGAGGGGACAGCAAATTTACACTGTTATACAAGCTGTACACTCACTACTTTACATTGTAGCAAAGTGTCCTTTCTTCAGTGTTGTCACATGAAAAGATATAATAAAATATTTACAAAAATGTGAGGGGTGTACTCACTTCTGTGAGATACTGTATATGATATGAGAATAGTAGGGCCTGTAGATAGGGGGTACGTGTTGGAGTATGTGTTATTTAAGAAAAATAGAATTATATTTTCATAATATTTTTTTTCAAACCTAGTCTGTGGAGTAAAAGCCCCCAGGGGGCCTGGCTTAATTACTGTTTTACTCTGTTCTGAACATCAAATCCTTTGTTTTCTCATTAAATGTATTGTTACTAGTTGGTTGAATAAAATGTTTTGGACTTTATATTTAAAAATTACTCAAGTTATTATCAGGTAGATAGTTGGCTAGCCAGTTAGCATCAGCTAACAATATTTTTCAAATAGGCTATTAAAATTTTGTAAATCATAATTACTGATCATTCTTTTTAAGCAAAACTGCCTGTACTCTGATTTTACTGTAAATGTATAAAGCAAATGGCGTCAAAATGAGTCAAACCGACCCGCAACATAATAAAAGCATGAAACAGTGTTATTTTAGCATCAGAGATACTATTATAGTTAATATTAATATTTTAAATCAGCTTTTTAATTTTATATTTCCTGATTCATTGTAAACTTTGTTAAAGTTTAAGTAATTTTGTTGTGTTTTTGTAATTTTTAGTAGCTTTTAAAAAAATATATATCTATATAATTTTATTCATTTTTATTTCAGTTTTCGTTTTAGTTAACTAAATTCATATTCTTAAAGTAAATTCATATGAATTAGCCACCAATTTGCTAAAATGTAAAATAGCTATGAATCATGAGAGCGTGTTGACAATACTAAAGCAGCATACAAGAATACATTTCTTTCTAACTAAAAAAGAAACTTGAAAGACAACTCAGAAAAACAATAAATTTAAATCTATTTATTATCCCATTTCAGTTCTTACAAAAATATGACAAAATAAAAGAAATAAATAATCCCATTCCCTAATATTGTATTTTTTTTTTTTTTTTTTTTTACTAAAGAATAGTTTTACAGTGGAACATTGGAAGAGCTAATGATAGGTTTGTGAGGTTGCCTTCAGAGCGGGAGTTCTGTGGCCCCTCATCACAATCACTTCATATTTCACAGTTAAACCCAATGCAAAGCAGTTCTTAGACAACAACCCAATGCAGCCTCGTAATGCTTGCAGCTATCGGTAGCTTAACTACTCAAATCATTCCATTAAACAACAACAGAAACATCAATGTTACTAGGCCAGAGCAGACGGTCTGACTACATTAACTGCAGAGATGATGTGGCCTTGATGTGGACGGATGATACTGAAACATTGCAGCAGCCTCGCGGTTTCTAATATGCCAAGATCTGTCATATTGCAGAGTTCAGTTAAAAAAGAAAGCAACCAAGCAAAAAATGCCTCTTACCAACAAACACTTCCAATTCCTCACCAATTATTGACTTTTTCTACCTATCTATAATCAAAAACATTTTTACAGTCCATCAGTCAGTGGACCTGAGTTACTCTATCAAGGGAATATCAAACCAAATAAAAGACAAAAAACTGTTTTAGGTGACAGATACTTCATTCCTAGATTATAAATGCTGCTGTTGCCACAGGGAACGATATGTCTTACTCTTTTTAATACTGTGAGAATGTAACACATCCAACCATTTCACAAAACAAAAATTATATCCAATGTTATAATCAAATCCAGTTTTTGCATTTGCAATGCATATTGGATATAATAATATAATTTAGTTTCAATTTTTTGGAGAAAACAAATTCATATTTGGTTAAAACATATTTAAGACCCAAAGGAAGTATATTGTTGTTGGGGTAATCGACGAATTTGTCAATGAAATAAAATAAAAACTGCATGACCTATAACCATAATTAATGACTTGATAAACATGTACTAAACAAATTCAGAACATAAAACAGATTAAAAGTACCATTCAGGCCAAAATATTATTGCAACAACTTCTGTTCAGCAAATCCTGTCAACCAAATAAAGAACTAAATGCATAGTTTGTTTTGTTTTCTCTGAAACCTAAAAGTAAAAATGTAATATTCCATTACTTGAGGCACCTTTTGTTTCTTCATGACCTTACACTGGAATATAAGCAGCCAGCTTTACACAGATTCGACTGCTTCATAGAAACCCTTCATTGGGTGTGACTCTTCTGTAATGGGTTTTCCCAACTGAGCACATTGTGTTAAGATAAGACCCTCCCTTTTAGTGGCTCAGGACAAACTTTCTTTGAAAAACACAAATTCAGACTGCCTCTAAAGTCAGAGACGGCTTGTTTGAGAAACATTTACGGCTTCCTTCACATTTACAAACCCAAGCACGTGCTTAGCAGCTGTACACAAAAACAAAATGTACACTAAAATAATGTGCAAAGAGGAGGCAGATATTACTTTTGCTTCAGTAAAAAAAACGAAAAAAACATAGGTATTAGGTAGGCATGAATAAATTAAAGTTGGCAACAGTGGATTATTTCAGTTGTGTGTTACAATAAAATACAGCATTTTCATATGTAATGAGGCTGTTTACATTGGCTTGCAGGATAATGACTCATTAATATTTAACTATCCAATCAGTATCATAATTATCATATACTACCAGTCAACAGTTTGTAAACACATTTCCAAATTTTAGAAAGTTTTTAAAACTATGAAAAAATACAAATGGAAATATCTGAACTATATGTATAATTCATATACATAATAACGTATATGATTTATGTAGTGACCAAAAATGTTAACAAAACTATCTTATATTTAAGCTCCTTCAAAGTCAGCTTTTTCATTTTTTTATTAAAATGTTAATTTTATAAAAAAAATAAAAATAAATAATAATAGTAAAAAATGTCTGCAAAACTAATTTGAAGTATTTAAGCAGAAGCCTTTTTATGAAAACGTTTTTCACTACGTCCAAATGTTTGACTGGAGGTGTATGAAATGTCTGTACATCTGTTTTCTTGCCACAAGAGGTTTCAACACTATCTTGCTAAGTTTAGGGTAGTTTCCAATCTGATGTGATGAAGTTACGAAGGGTTAAAGTCTGCACTATAAGCAATATATCAGCTTGAAGTTTCAGAGCCATGATAAGGATATTGGTGGCAATGCAAACGCGATGACCTTCAAATTCAGGAGAATACACAAATTTTCCTGACAGGTATCTATCCAGCCCCTCCCGCTGTCTTTGTGTACAGCGCTTCACAATAGTGTGTGATGGATAAACGAATTTCAAACAAATAATAATCAACATCACACATCACTTTGCGTTTGTTTCATTGCAGTTTTCATTATTGATTTTCGCTTATTAATTAATAAGAGAATATTGCCATTCGGAGTCTGTTATTCAGCATGGACTTACTAAACCACCAGTACTTTTTGCTTGTAAAGTTGCTATTGCTCTACTAAACTTTTAAACACATACAAAAGTTTATCACCCCCCATAGTTGGAACTGCTGCTTGTGAGATTATAGTTGTTTTGGTATTTTGGAGGTCGTACTGTGTGACTGGTATAAAATGTTTGGTAAATTATTTTTCATGGTTTGTTTTTTTTGTTTCTACCGGCAACCCAATAAAATGTTACAATTATCAGACTAGTAATTAAACATTGCACTTTAAAAACCTTCAGAAACGCAGCTCATGCATTCCTAATAGGATTGCAGAAAAGGCAATGTGTGTGTGTGAATAAGTGTGCGTGTGTGTGGAGGGGTTTTTTTTCTATGAAGTTCTTCTGAAATATAGCAAAGCATTGACCATTATGGGGCGAATTCACTAAACAGTTGCACTGCTGTAGCGTGTAGCGTTTACGCACACGAAACCATGCGTCATTTACCAGCTGCCATCCAACTTAACCAGGTTGTATATGCGCCGATATCGCACTGCGCCATGCGTATTTAAATTACATCAACGTTGTTGTCATCTTACTTTCTATGCAAATGAAGTGCATTATAAAACGTGCTAGATTAGCACTGACGGAAAACGGATTTGTATTTAAAATGGATGTTTGTGTACATTTTCCTGCAGCAAGCACATTTTTTTTGTCATTTTTACCGCTCGTTATCTGTCAGCTTTTGTCTGGAAATAAGGTGCAAGCACTCTCGGCACTAATTCTGTGGTGACTAGAGGCCGACTGATTGATTGGTTTTACCGATTAATCGGCACCGATAAATGATTGCTGGAATAATTGGTTACTGGCATAAATCCATAGTTTTTCAGGGTTAGGGTTATGGTCACACACATGGTTGTGTTTCATTTTCTGTGAAACAACAGCCTGGGACATTGTACGCATGGTTACAAAAATTGGATGATGCGTATACAGTATGCGTGTACTATTTTGGTGACGAAATGCCTGACCCAAATGTTTAATGTCACGATTTCTATTAGTTTATCTCCAGCTGGTCACTTTTATGCATTTGTTAGTCAGCAAAGTTGCATATTTAAAGCTAGTGATGTAAGAAATCAAATTGATGTTCATGCAGTCGACAGAAACATATAAACAAAACATTTAAATCCAAATTATAAAGGTGAATTTTCCATTAAATTACATTATATTTGACCCAAATCGTTGTTTTATATTTAATTTAAAAAGTACAGTATATTTTCATATTTTAAAGTTTTTTTTCTGTTAGAAAGGTCTGCACTATTTTATTGGAGTGTTATGTTTGTTTTCATTCAGTATCCATTTTAAAAACTAGTGGATGGTTATCGGCCATTGCGGTCCAACCTAAATCGTTATCGGTAAAATCCATTATCAGTCGACCTCTAGTAGCGACTATTACCTGATACGCTCACGTCAGTGAACTGGGTGCTAAAATGAAGCACGCAACACGTGCAAATACACAACGTTAATCTGGACCCAATGTATTCTAAAGCCGAAAATAAACTGCCCTAGTCCGTGTTCTGCTTTGGTTTGAGAACAGTCCACGAGACACAATTTTCATTATTAGCCGTGCACATCATCTGCTTGCAGCCCAATTTTTGAACTTGTACAGCAGTGCATGTGCGAGCGATTTCAGTACTCAAAAAATAGAAGTCCACTAGGTGGCGCACATGCCGAACACATCCATCTATGCTCCGCGTCAATATAGTACACTTGCACGCTCAGTTGTGCGCTAGACAGATAGAACGCGGAAAATGAAGTACACCCGGGCTTTTAGTGAATTCCCCATTATTTTACTTAACAGCTTCCAGGTCTTGCACATCCTCAGTAACACTGAGGGCAGGAGAGTGGGAATGTTTTTAAGTCTCACACTGTTTTTTTTTTTTTAATGGAGATAATTTTCTTGTTACATCTTAGGGCCTGATGGATCAGCATCGGTTGAGGATCCATTATCCCCATTCTCTCCGCAAGGAGATGGGATTTCGTCAGGGACCCCATTGAGGTTGGACTTTGTTGGGGGCTTGTCCTGCACCTGTCCCCCATCCCCTGGTTTTGAAGGCTGAGCCCCATTTACACATGCCCCTCCTTCTGATTTCCCAAAGTTAAACAGTTTCCCAGGATTGAAGGACTTGTTAGGTGATTGGGACCTTTCTGCCCTCTCCTGGACTGGAGGAGCTGTCGACACACTAGTGGAAGCCGCCGCCGCTGCCTCCTTTTTGTTCTCAGGGGACTTTAGGAACTTAAAACTGAGGAAACCCGGTAGCTTGGGTTCGCTACCCGTGGGTGACTGCGGGGAACGGGCTGAGCCAGAAGAAAACTTGTTCTGTAGAGGGATTATCTGCTTCAGTTTCATGACATTATTGTTTCCAAGAAGCGAGCTGGGACGTTTGGGTTTCTCCCCCCCACCCCCTGGTCTGGATTTGCCACTGTGGCTCTTGTCGTGGTGGTGGTCGCCACCCGAGGAGTCCGAGCGGCCATCGTCTCGATCACGCCGGGCCTGATACTCCGCCTGGCGCTGCCGGTCCTCCTCCTCACGCTTCCTCCTTTGCTGCTCCTGGAAATGCTGCTGTGCCTGACGCTCATGCTTCTGAAAACACATGTACACCAGCAATGAATCCAGTTGCTGCCAGAACGCTAGATTTAGAACATGTTGATCAGCTGTTTGTGGTTGTGTACTGGTTCAAGTCAAAAGAGTCTATACCACAATCCTTATAATATTCAGTTTCCTAAATATAGTTTCGCTGAACGGTGGATGGGGTATTACCTTAAACGCCTCTTTGCGCTGAAACTCCAGCTTGGCCATTTCCTCTCCAACCCAGCTGGGGATGTCTGGTATTGCCACATGAATGATATACTTCAGTAGTACTGCAAAGTGCTGCTCACGCGAGGAAAGAGAGAAAGTCAGTTTATTGTCATTTGTGTGCTAGGACAAGAAACTGAATACAACAGGTCTTCAAGTGAAAGAGGTAAGTTCAGGAGGAACTTCAGACTTGCTGGCATGGTTTGAGAAGCGAATAGAGGTATGCTTTATGATTGTACTGGAAGCATAGAAGTAATAATGATAACATTTTTGAAGTAAGTGCAAATGACAAAGCTAATCTCATGTGATTTACTGAGGAATACTTTTTGCCCTGAGGGTCTTATAGAAAGAAGCTTTTCTTCTAAAGGCTTGAATACACTACACAACCTTTTGCCTGAGGTTGCAGTCTGGACGATTTGATGGTAGTTGCTGAAGTCTGAGCCTTATTTTGGGCAGTCAGAGCTGACAAATTTTACAGAAAATCATGTAATTTACAATAGGCATAGATCATGAATTGTCTTAATTGAATGTAAACAGTTAATTCATTCATCCAGTGTTGCATTTTACATTTGATTACTTTATTCAACTTCTGTATTATTTCTTACCTCAATACTGTTAGTAAGACTTACCTGCACAATTTACTTCATTTGTATCATGTTTGTTTGTTCTAGTGCTTGCCATTTGTTTTTTGTTCTGACTGTTTACATGTCTTCAATAGCATGAGAGCTTTTTACTTATATTGGCTGTACTAGTTTTAACTGCTCAGTAACTTGCAAAATAGCCTTCCTGAAATTTTTTTTTTAAATATTTTTTGCCATATCACCCATCCCTCATAAAGAGTTGTATCAGAGTTATTATAGTTAACTGAAACTCTCAATGATACTAAAATAACACTGGTGTGTATGTACTTGAGTGTGTGTACGTACCTCAAGGATGACGATGGAGATAATGGCCATCTCAGGACTAAGCCAGGGAAACAGTCTTTGTAGCTGCCCGCACTGACCAATCAGATAGCAGTTCACTATGATGGCAATCAGACCCATGGCTTCCATCACTGTCTGTGCAATGACACAGGACTTTTACACAACCTTGTTGTATAAAGACACTTACAGCAGCATCAGATGAGTATTCTAATGATTTTCAGAGTACTCAGTCTAGTCTAACCTGCCATTGCCCGATGCTCCCCACTCTCAGGCCGAAAGGTCTCTGTAAACTGGTGCACAGTTTAAATGCGTCGCTCCGGATCTCAATGATATTGTTAATGAGGGCACACATGGCGGCCAATGGAAAGGCAGAGGAAAAGAGCACCACATATCCAAACTGAACAAACATCTCCTGGTAGTCCTGGAAAGTGTCCTGGAAAGCAATTTAGAGAAACTGTGTTTTAGCGGTTTAGAGAAATTATGTCAGTCAGAAGGATCTGTTTGTCTGCAGGCAGTAGAACATCTGTACTCTAGAACACACATACGTGAGAGTACTTCAATTGCAAACCACTGTGTTCTGTTTTAAGAATTTTTAAAATACTATAGAAATTGTATTTTACACTACTGTTGAAAAGTTTGAAAAAATTCTCAAAAAACATTTTATTATCAATGTTGAAAACAGTTGTGGTGCTTCATGTTTTTGTGGAGCCATGATACATTTTTTCAAATTCATTTTTCACATCAGGTTCAAAAGAACAGCATTTATTTAATTAATTAATTTATTTATTTTACAATGTCATTTTTGATTAATTTAATGCGCCCTTGCTGAATAAAAGTATTTATTTATTTGTTCTTATTTGTGCACAATCATCAGCTAAACAACTTGGATATACATTCTGAGCTGCATTCAAAATCATAAATGGCACGAAAACAACAACTGAATGTTAGTTTCACATCCAAAAGAAAACATTTTAGTCCATTTTAATGTATGTTAAATAAGTAGGCTCAATTTTGTCATCATTTACTCACCCTCACAGCTGCTGGTCCCCATTGACATTTATAGTATTTTTTTTCTCCATACTATGTAAGTCAATGGGGACCAGCATCTGTTTGCTTACCCACATTCTTTAAAAGGGTCATATGATGCGATTTAAATTTTTCCTTTCTCTTTGGAGTGTTACAAGCTCTTGGTGCATAAAGAAGATCTGTAAAGTTGCAAAGACTAAAGTCTCAATTCCAAAGAGATATTTTTTATGTGTTGAGAGGGGGGGGGCCGAGAGCCATGGGAACGGAGCGAGGCCGGTGGATTAATTGATAATGAGCGACACCTGCACCACTCACCGGTCTCGAGTCCCACGGAGGAGCTCCGGAAGGATAAAAAGGAGTGACGACAGTGAAAGACGAGAGAGGACCAGGCCTGGAGTTTATTTTGTGTTTTGGTTTTGTTTGTGCGCGACAGTCGTCCACGAGGGGCTGTCGCGCTATTTTGTGTTTGTTTATTTTATTAAATTTGGTTTCAATGTTTGCTGGTTCCCGCCTCCTTCTTCCCGACCTACAAACATTGTTACACAAAAGATAAGAGTCAGCCACGCCTACCTAAAACGGCTTGTTCTAATACGCCCCCACATATCTACGTTACGATGTGTGTTTCGTTGTGAAAGCGAAACTACTTTGTTTGGCCTTCCAAAAGAGGATGATATCTGCTTCGTCATGCCTGGAGCTGATCAGTGCTGGTTGCTGAGGAAATACATAAACTTCACGCTGTGGATCAACGGATCGGCTTTCACTGTGGACGAAGTGGAGTCCAGCCCGAGGTCGTCACATGTGGTTTCCGCAAGCCCGCCGGCCGCTCAATCAAGCAGGCCTCTGCTCACTCTAGGCCTCCGGCCGCCGCTCACTCAAGCCCGCCGTGTGTGACGCTGTGTTTCGTTGTGAAAGCGAAACTACTTTGTTTGGCCTTCCAAAAGACGACACGACTAGAAATCAGTGGTTAAGTTGTATTTACAACACTGTTCCAGAACACTTCAACCCAAATATTCAGATGTGTGCAGCGCATTTTATGGAGGACTGTTTCCTGATCCTGGTAGAGTAGACTACAATGCCGGCTGTTCTGACTCACAGACTGTAAGTAAGTTTTTATATTTAAAGAATTTGCCACTGATGATTCAAAAGTGAGTTTTGAACAGTGTAGAGTAGCACTTGTTGTTTGTCATTTCTCCGATCACAAATGCAGACATGGTTTTATGTTTACGCGGCGCGATGCAACGCAACTCGTAAAAAGACCAAGTATATAAGTCATTATAATCCATAATTATGTCCCCACTGGATGCAAGAAATGCCTCGTTTGTAATGGGTTTTAATGTTTTTGTCTCATCGCTCCGGCCGGGACAAGGCATCACAATATGGTGAGGGGCGTAACATTTCCGTCACACGCTTCAGGTATTCGGCCAATCACAACGCACTGGATAGCTGGCCAATCACAGCACAACTAACTTTTCAGAACGATGAGCTTTGTAAAAATGTACGCGTTTCAGAAAGGTGGGGCATAGAGGAGAAACAATAATGTACAGTATGTGAAACCTTAAACCGCATAAACATTATGCTTTTGGTGTATTACGCCAAATACACAAAATAATGTTCTTTTTAGCAACATCATATGACCCCCTTAAAATATCTTCTGTTATGTTCAACAGAAGAAAGAAACTCATACAGGTTTGGAACAACTTGTCATTGAGTAAATGATGACAGTTTTTGTTTTTGGGTGAACTATCTCTTTAAATTAGATTTGAACACTTTCTCAATAAAATGTTAGTTGCTGCTTGTTTTAGGTGTTTTAATACGAAGGAAATAAATGTTTCATTATATCCAACTATATTATATTCAAATGTATTTGATTTTAATAATAATAAAAAAACATTAAATTAATTTATTGTTTTTACATTTCAATGCAAATCTAAACAGAAAAATGAAAACAAAAATATAAGTAGTAAGCATGGTGTGCCTTCTGACCTGGTTTGTTTGCATGCAGCTCTCCATCTCGGCCTGTGTTAACGTGGTGGTTTCTTGCTCCTCAGGAGGATCCATCCACGAATCTCTCTTGGTCTTACCGTCAGCCCTCTCTAAACTCCGCCCCCTCTTCCTGAGCCGGACTGACGTATTGTTCTCCACTCCCGCTGGCAGTTGCTCGGCTGTCAGCTCCTTCATCTCCGAAACCCCGTTTTCATCATCATCATCATCACACATCTCGAAAACTGAGGCAGGATCCATGCCCCTCTCCACCATGGTGGGGCTCCCCTCCTCCAGGAAGCTGTCGTCCACCGGGCTGACGCAGCTTGCGGACTTACGCTCCACCTTCTCAATGAAACTGACCTTCCGGAGCTTCAGGCCGCAGTCGATGAGGCTCTCCGATTCGTTATCTTCTTCGCTGTGCCTCTCCCCAGGCTCCTCCTCCACATCCTCATCCGGGACGCCGCAGCCACCGTTCAGACACTTGCGTTTTCGTCTCTCCTGAGGGCCCTCCTCACCCATCTGTGGCCCGCGCAGGCCTGACCCGAGCACAGTGGGGTCGCTGGGTGACACTTGTGCTCGTCCTGCTGCAAGCCGCCCATACTTGAGCAGTGCAGACACCAGCAGCTCCCAAACGGCCCGCAGCGTGAGCTCACCCAGTCGGTGGCGCTCGGCCAGGTAGGGTTGCAGGACTTCCTTCATGTTCTGCACAAACTGCCGGATAATCAGCAGTGTGGCCAGCATCTACAGCAATAGGAATACCAACACGTTACACCATCACCTTACAAGGCTGAGCACTGATAATGTCAATTCCACTCTGACACAGTTGGGCAGTTTGATTTAAAATGTTCATTTTAATTACAAGTAAATAAATTCTATCTCTCTACATACAGGTGCATCTCAATAAATTAGAATGTTGTGGAAAAGTTAATTTATTTCAGTAATTCAACTCAAATTGTGAAACTCGTGTATTCAATAAATTCAATGCACACAGACTGAAGTAGTTTAAGTCTTTGGTTCTTTTAATTGTGATGATTTTGGCTCACATTTAACAAAAACCCACCAATTCACTATCTCAACAAATTAGAATATGGTGACATGCCAATCAGCTAATCAACTCAAAACACCTGCCGTAAAGACATTTATAATGATACAAAGAATTATATTTCAGATAGATGCTGTTGTTTTAAACTTTATTTTCATCAAATAATTTCTGAATAGAATAGAAATCAGTTAATTCAAATTCTAATATTATTTCAAAATAATACAGTTTTTTTGTACTCTATAATCTATAATACTCTTGGTGAGCAACTCTTGTCAAAATATGGTGAGAGACTGTTTTCAAAATATTAAAAGCGAACCCATATTTTGAATTGTAGTGTATATAAATATACAGTAAATTTGAAGTTTGAAATAATATACGTGACCCTGGACCACAAAAGCAGTCTTAATCGCTTGGGTATATTTTTAGCAATAGCCAAAAAAAAACACTGTATGGGTCAAAATTATCGATTTTTCTTTTATGCCAAAAATCATTAGGATATTAAGAAAAGATCATGTTCAATGAAGATATTTTGTAAATTTCTTACCGTAAATATATCAAAACTTAATTTTTGATTAGTAATATGTATTGCTAAGAACTTCATTTGGACAACTTTAAAGGCGATTTTCTCAGTATTTTGATTTTTTTTGCACCCTCAGATTCCAGATTTTCAAATAGTTGTATCTCGGCCAAATATTGTCCTATCCTAACAAACCATACATCAATGGAAAGCCTATTTATTCAGCTTTCAAATGATTTCAATTTCAGAAAATTGACCCATATGACTGGTTTTATGGTGCAGGGTCACATATATATTTCAGTTCATTATATTTACAGTATGCATGCAGCTCTGATGTTTTGAGTGATTTGTGTTTCTGTGGTGTAGTTTTAGTTAGAAGCTCAGAGCAGGTGTTCATATGGCCCAGTCAGAGACTCTCACCTCTTTCAGACGCTCCATGTCTTTGAGGTAGAATCCAATATAGAAAAGGCTGAGATAAGAATTTACAAACTGAAACTGAGAAAGAAAGAGAACATTTCAGGAACATTTTAGTTTTAGTAAAAGTTTATGAATATTTAAAACTCAGTCTGGTCATTAAACATTTGATATATAAATTATTTATTCATTTTTCTATTGATACTTACAAGAACCATTTTGATGATGAGATTTTTCTCATAGGCACTCTGGAGTCTGTAGTTTTCTGTGGGAAACACAAGACTCAGACATTAGTATTCAGCTCACAGGAGCCTAACAACTAGCCAGTGTTGATCTTCTGTCTCCTTCTCACTCCTGCGTTTAGCTTCTGGAGGGCCGAATTCCCAAAATCCAGACCACAATCCATTTCGGCCTTGTTACTTTTTACTACTGACAAACTGTAAACCAAAACTTCCTGAGTTTAATCCCTCCTAAAATTCAGTTTTGTTGAATTTAGTGTTCGTGAACACTTCAAATAATAAATGACCACATATATTCGGTGACTCACCCATGTCATTTAGCCAGCAGGCGATCTTTCTGTACACCTCATCACACGCCGTCACAGTGATGGCCAACATGATTTTAGGGATGAATCTTGCTACACGTGGAAGCTCCTTAATTCCCATCACAAATTCCTGCCAAACATCACCTCATTACAACTCACATTACATTAATTATTTTCTATTTGCACTCACTAATATGTAAATCCATTTTAATATTACTTTTAATCATATACTGTATTATGGTGAAACATATGGAAGATCATTTCTGCCACAGGATAAAAAAAAGGTACTCACAATTCTGACTTCTGCGAGAAAAACATCTGAATTGAGAGAAGTCACAATTGTTAAATATAAGCTTGCAATTTCATGAGCTAAATAGTCAAAATTACTTATTTGTTATTCTGTGGCGGAAAAGAAATCTGAGATATAAACTCAGAATTGAGAGAAAAAGTTAGAATTTTTAGATTCTTAAAAAGTTAGAAAAATTACGACTTTTTTCTCATTTTAATTTTTTTATTCTGTGGTGGAAATGGGCTTCCATAGAAACATCATATATTATTATTATTATCATAATTGTGTTTTTTCCCCCATGAGGACCATTTATAATGTTTAACGTAAATGTTAAACGTAATTTCTTTTTTTTTTAAATGTTATTTAAAAACCTTTTTATCTCTGCTGCATACCCTTGGCATTTTTTTGCAGCTAAGAAACAATAATTTATAATGCACAATGCGTTTATAAACCTTAGGGCTGGGCGATATGGAAAATATAGATTTTTTTCAGAGCGTTTGACCGATTTTTAACTAGTCAACTTGAAAATGTTACTACAACATGATTCAAGTAACTTTTTCTTTATTAACCCTCTGGGAAAGTCGTGGCCTAATGGTTAGAGAGTCGGACTCATAACCCAAAGGTTGTGGGTTCGAGTCTCGTACCGGCAGGGATTGTAGGTGGGGGGAGTGAATGTACAGCGCTCTCTCCCACCTTCAATACCACGACTGAGGTGCCCTTGAGCAAGGCACCGAACCCCAACTGCTCCCTGGTTGCCGCAGCATAAATGGCTGCCCACTGCTCCGGGTGTGTGTTCACTGCTGTGTGTGTGTGTGCACTTTGGATGGGTAAATGCAGAGCACTAATTCCAAGTATGGGTCACCATACTTGGCCACACGTCACTTCACCTTCACCTTCACCTTAAAGAAATTTCTATTTCAAGTGCACCACACATGAAGTTGTCAACATGATGTAAATGTTAAACAAATCACTTGTTAGATATCTTTGCAAAAAAGATGCTTGAACTACAACTACATCTTGTACAATATTATCTTAAACATTTTATGTTCAGAAATAATAGGGAATAATAAGGGAAATGCTTTAAAAAAATCTCAAAAGTCAAGGTAATTCAAATTCAAAATGACTGAAGGTAAAACACCAGTAGACTATTGTTAACTATAAATGTTCTGTAAAAACAATGAACTGCAGCTTTCAGCCTGTCACCATGATGCAAACATGAAATTTCAGACATACAGTAGTAGTTCTTAACAGGTTGTTATTAGATTGCACTGCTTTTCTATAGTTTTTTCATAGTTGCGCTCTCGTCTCTTGCAGCATCTCATCCATGAAACGGCATTCTAAAAGCACGGAGCTCAAGTTAAAAGAACTTCCATCTTCCTGCATTTTTTTCCTTTTTCACTGCCCGTGATCACTGATCTGTTCACTGATCTTTGTCAACACAAAAGTGCATTCTGTGTGAATGGCACCTTATGGTCCTTCACAGAGCGCGTCACGCTTCAGCGGTTAATCATGTGCGCCGACATGAGGTCGACATTCTTTTCTCTTTACGGTTAACACTGGCATATTGTCAGTGTCTAATTCTAACGTTTGGTAATATTTCTATTCAAAATGATTCCGAAACCCTGAAATCATAAAAACGTGATTCCTCGATTTATAAAAAATAAAATCGTGGGAAAACATTCAATTCGAATTAATCTATAAAATCGGAAAAATCACCCAGCACTAATGGACTTTATAATATCAGCATAACAATATTAGGTTAAAATTTGATATATGAACGTATAAGGCATATCTTGGGTCCTGTTACTTGTCATCATTTGTTATTAATTATTTTAATCTGCATACATAATAATTAGAAAATGTTGAAAAATAGGCAGGACACGTCAACTACCATAGATCAGTGTGTGTGAGAAAGTGTGTAACTCACCTGAAGCTCAAAGCAGACAAGCATGGCCAGAAATACAAAGCAAAGGCATAATATACAGATGGGAAAGCTGACCAGCCATCTGAACACTCTCCTCCTCCACGGTGGGTAATAAAACTCTTCACAGCCCGTTACTGGGCTGCACCGCTTTACACCCTGACCCGAAGAGCAAGAGAGAGAAAAATCATTTAATGAGCCGTTTAAAAGACGTGTTTTTAGATGCATCAGATGCCATTACTAAGACTAGCGATTTAATGCGTTAATTTGGTGCAGTTAATTTTGGAAAAAATAATGCATTCAAATGATTAACCCCCGGCCCGGACCTGCAAATCATCTTGCATTGCATGCAGTAGCTTAGTGACGCACATGATGCTGGACGACGTCTGACTGTGTGATGTAGCCTATTAGAAAGCAGTTATATGCCCCTAAAATTCAATTCTATCAAGATAAAATGTGTGGGTTTTTGTCTTTAAAATTGGTTTTGTCTTTTTGTATGTATATTACAATATATTATATAGTTCAGCAATATCATATGAGCAACAGAGCTGTTTTTTTTAAAGCAAAAAAAAATCTTTTGACTGAATTTTTCCCAAGCCAAACCCCATTCCACAGCCATACCTGTTACACACACAGATTAAGAGCAGTTTTTTATTCTTGTAATTAGCAGCGCTTGTCCTCCTAATTTAAAAAATGTAGAAGCACCTTCTGATCAATAATAAAAAATTCTGATAAAAAATTAGACAATCAATAGCACAAACAAAAACAAGAAATGTTTTCAGGTAGGTCTAACTATTATCTACTCAACTGTAAAATAACACTGGTTAGTCTTCACTGTAAAATGAAAGGCATCAGGAGGTTTATTTAGGCTGCTGTCTCTTTAAGACCTCATGCACGGATCTAATATACTGATACACATGGCTCTATGCTTACTTTTCTTTTTAGGAGCGCTTGTCCTCCTTATTTAAAAAATGTAGGAGCATGATCAATAATCAAATTCTGATAAAAAAATTATCCTTCCTAATACATTTGACTCCTTAAAGTGACTTACAGGGGTATTTTCTTTTTACCTTTGTAATGGCATCATTTTCATCTGTCAAATTCAAAAATGTATGTTTATAAGCTTTTTAAAATTTCTATTTAAAACAAAATAATAAGAAGTAGAATAAGACAAATAAGTTACCAATCATATGAAATTTGTATTAATAAAAAAATTATTTGTACAGAGGTGGCACAGAAGAACACAAAAGTGGCTTGCAGGGACATTTTCAGACGTTTAATAAGGCTCAGAGGTGGCATGAGTGCAATAAAATTCATACATTCATGTGGAGATTAATGTTTTAAATATAAAATTTTGAATACAGAAATATTAAATGATTTAACTAACTGAAATTATACACTAAAAATGAAGCTAAATCCGCTAGCAGGTGGCGGCAAGTCACTGATTTTATCACTGAATCATTCATTCAATTGATTCGTTCGAACGGCTGATTCATTCAGGAATGAAGCAAGTGACTGTCTTTATGAATGGGTAGTCATGAATCACTGACTCACTAGATTTGTTCAAAAACACACTTTCATTGAATGAATGAAACTCAGCTGTGTTTGCTTTTAGAGATGCGCAGCGGCTGAGCTGTTACTATATTTGAAACTATTTTCGTTAAAGAAATAGAGCAAAATCAGGCAGTACTTGTTTATTGAACTGTTGTATTAAATCAATCACATTTGCAAACTCCCTTAATAACTATTAAAATTGTCACTCTCCTTATCCGTGATCTGTGGGCGCACAGAAAATTAGCGCGCAAGTGAGTTCTCAAGACTCAAAAGCACGTGCAAATGATACGTTCCATCATCTGTCATTGCGCTATAAGTGCGGAACCTGCGGGAATGAGACAAAGTCCCTTTAAGGGTATTCTATAGTCTTTGGAATGAGTAGAATTGTTATTAATAGCCGCAATCCCGCACCGAAATTCAAGTTCTGCTCTGTGTTCTCTGCTAATAACTCAACTGTGAATGATGCGAGCGGCATCACTATGTTGTCAATGAGAAGCTGCAGGATGATTTTTTGTGTGCCGGCAGAACAACAACGCGCTACATGTTTCTTTTCCCCTAATTTTTTCCAGTTGACGGAAATCCGTCATAGACTTGCTGCAATTAATGGAAATGGAGAACTTTAATCCCTGAAATCTGCACAAGTGCTATTGATTTTATACAATAGTTAAATAAAAAAATGTCATTTTAGACACAATATTGTCAATATTGTCTGTTTTGCGAACAAAAATAATTCCAAACAAATTCACAGCAAAACTGTTGTTTCGCTACTGAATGAATCAATGTTTTTCAACAAAACGAGTGAGCGAATGATTCAGTGACCCATTCATTCATTTCTGAATGGAGCAGCAGTTTGAACGAATCGGTGGAATGAATGACTAAATGACTCACTTATTATGGGTTTTAGTTTCATATTTAGAGTATCATTTCTTTTTAAGAATCATTTCATATTTTAATATTCATTTTCCCCCCGAAAACCATTAATACCCATTTATTATCATTATTTATGCAATGATGAATCTCAATACTTCTTTCTAAAGCTACTTTTATTGTAATGGCCATTTAATACTTTTCTCATTCAACACAATAATGACTTTAAATTATGTTTTGGGGGTAATTTCTCCATCCAAAATTGATGTGCAATTATGTATATTAATTAATTGGCACATGATGCAATTAATTAGATTAAAATTTCGAATTGCTTGCCGTAGTCATTACCCTGAACTGGGGTCTGGGCTCCTCCAGTGACTCAGCTGGGCTGTCCAGTGTACCCCACTTATAGGCGAGCTCCGCCCCTCTGCGTTTCCAGCGCTCCAAGAACAATGTGGCCCACACCACATTAAAGAGAGCAAACACCACACAGCAGATATCCCTGCTGGTCTAAGAACATAGAGACAGAAATATCAATCAAACGAACAATAGTTGCAACTCTTGGAACATAGTGCATAAGTCACTTTTATGATGTTTAAGTGGTAAAATACCTGATCTGATTCTGTGAGCATCCACAATACAAAGCCAATAACAGCTGGATACAACATGGAAGTGGTGTAGAAACCCAGCCAGGCGAAGTACATGGCAATCTTCACTCCAAAATAATCACAAATATCATCTAACAAAACAAATCATTCAAGTATCTAAGTGGGGCTGCAGCAACAAAACAAAATCAGTAAATTTGTTTATTGATTAATCGCATATACGTATATTAGGATTGTAATAATTTGGACTAAAATACACATTTTGATAAATTAATTGGTGTTAGACATTAAAGGGATAGTTCAACCAAAAATGAAAATTTGATGTTTATCTGCTTACCCCCAGGGCATCCAAGATGTAGGTGACTTTGTTTCTTCAGTAGAACACATTTGATGATTTTTAACTTTAACAGTCTATCAGTCGTATAATGCATGGCAATGGTAACAAAATCTATGAGTGTAAAAAAAACATGCACATACAAATCCAAATTACACCCTGCGGCTCGTGACGACACACTGATGTCCCAAGACACGAAACGATCGGTTTGTGTGAGAAACCGAACAGTATTTATATCATTTTTTACCTCTAATACACCACTATGTCCAACTGTCTTTGGGCGCGCGCACGACTTCCGGTGCGTGAGGTGTGTACGCGCTCTGGTGTAGTTTACGTTAATGGGTGTTGTCGTGGGAGGAGCAAACGACAGACACAGTGGGTGTGGCGTCAGGCCTCGGAGAGGCTTTTATTAACAGAAAATAAACAAAGTGTCCAGAAAAAAGGGAATCAAGTGTCCAAAATATTCGTGAAGGGAAGGGCAGTGGTCAGGAAGGAAGGAAGGGTCCAGGTAAGGGGCAGAGTTCGGTGGCCGCTCGCGCTCCCCTCTCTGGTCCGGGGCACGAGGGGTGGTGGCTTATTTCAGCGGCTTCGTCCTTCTCTCTGCCCACGGCGCTTGAAGGGACTAGACGGCCCGGCATCCTTGCCCGACGGCCGTGTAACGGGTGTGGTTCTTGTCCGGACTGTGGGTTCGGCAGCTCATGACTCACGGGAGTCCCTCTACGCAGTCCCTCTAGCGTGCATGCACGGGGAAGAGACCGGTCTACCAAAGAGAGGTGCGCTCGGCATTTAAACAGCGGCGGTGATGAGGCTCCATTCGGTTCAGGTGTGCCCCATCACACGCTGCCAGCCCTAGCTATTTCAGCGCCCCTCCTCTCACACGCACCCACTCGGGAGCCTGGCGAAGGGCGGCGATTAAGGGACGGGGTGATGCTGATAATTAGGGGGAGGCAGCCGACTCGTCACAGTGTGTTGATATCCAGCCGAAGAGCAATCAACCATAACTTTAGGCGAGCAGGCTCAGAAGTTGGGAATACGTAGAAAGTCACCACTCCCGAATGAGTTCGCGCGAGAGAACGTAATCTTTTAGTTTTAAGTCGGTTTGAACAATCCGGATAAGCGCAAGTAAGTACCATTTTGATTAGCCGTCGTACCTACAATGACTGTGCAAACAATGAGTGACGTATCCGCGCGAGAGATCACTTCCGGCGCTTGCGTAAACTACGCCAGAGCGTGTACACATCTCACGCATCGGATGCCGTGTGCGCGCCCAAACACAGTTGGACATAATGTTGTATTAGAGGTAAAAAATTATATAAATACTGTTCGGTTTCTCACACAAACCGATCGTTTCATGTCTTAGGACATCAATGTGTCGTCACGAGCCGCAGTGTGTAATTTGGATTTGTCTGTGCATGTTTTTTTACTCTCATAGATTTTGTTACCATTGCCATGCATTATACAACTGATAGACTGCAACGGTAGGACTTAAAAATCATCAAATGTGTTCTACTGAAGAAACAAAGTCACCTACATCTTGGATGCCCTGCGGGTAAGCAGATAAACATACAATTTTCATTTTTGGGTGAACTATCCCTTTAAATGTAGGTTTAAAAGTACTTGTATTTTTTTTACAAATTATATATAAAAATTCTATGTCAAAATGTATAAAAACTGTATTTTTTCTTCAATAATACAGAATTTATTCAATTCTGCACCCTTCCACAAAACAGAGTGTCTCACGCGGCTCCGGGGGGTGAACAAAGGCCTTCTGTAGCGAATCGATGCGTTTTTGTAAGAAAAATATCCATATTCAAAACGTAATAATCACTTGCACCAGTAGTTGTACACAGAAGCAGCTCTGGGAGCATGGCGTATGACGTCAGTGTTGCGCATGCGCCGGTGAGTCTCGTGAAAACCAACGTTTGTTAACAGGATCAAAGGAAGCAAAGTTTTCTTACTTTAGCAAAGGAAAACCAGTCTCCTCTTGGCTTATATCAAAATCGTCCGACATTCTTCTTTACAAATCCTTGTTTTGTACTTCTAATTAGTGACTGTTGTTTTGTTTTGATCTCTCCCCTGCGCTTCTGCGTTAGTCACTTCTGAGCAGCGCATGCGCAAAGCCAACCTCCATACGTCATTCCCCCGGAACTGCTTCCAGTGTACAACTGCTAGACTAAAGTGATTATTACGTTTTGAATATGGATATTTTTCATACAAAAACGCATCGATTCGCTACAGAAGGCCTTTGTTCACCCCCGGAGCCGTATGAGACACTTTTTTTTATGGAAGGGCGCTTTTTATTTCAGGTCTTTTGGACTGAAGCAATGCAACACCTGCTGAGTGAAATGAAAGAGCTTGAAAGATCAAAGACCATTTTTAATATAACTCCGACTGGATTCGTCTGAAAGAAGAAAGTCATTATACACCTAGGATGACTTGAGGGTGAGTAATTTATGGGCTAATTTTCATTTTTTGTTAAATTTGAGCCAAAGTCATCATAATTAAAAGAACCAAAGACTTAAACTACTTCAGTCTGTGTGCACTGAATTTATTTAATACACAAGTTTCACAATTTGAGTTGAATTACTGAAATAAATGAACTTTTCCACGACATTCTAATTTAGAGATGCACCTGTATACCTAGGATGCCTCGGGGGTGAGTAAAATGCAGCCTAATTTTCATTTTTGGGTGAACTAACCCTTTAAGAGCAGCTGGGTTGTTAGCAAAATTATTAGCAACATTATTTTTCAATTATAAAATAACAACAAATGGAAAAGAATGGCATATTTATTTGACTTCCCACTGCAAACTACTAACCCAGTGGCTGTTTTTCACACACGGCCTGCACCCATGACTTCATCAGCTGTCCCAGAATCCTCTGCTCATGAAGCGGGAAGACTTGCTGGATCACACCTCGTGCCCTCAGCTCAGGAACTGGAACAGACACACACAGTTCACGCTCACTAACACACACACAACATGAACAGGTATTCAAACCTTTGGTAAAACTTTTCCTTCCAGAAATGTTCACTACATCTGTCAGCAGCAACATATAAAGCCTCAGCCTGCAAAATCAAATTACTTTCAGGTACAGACCATCAAGATACTGAGCGACTTATACATACATAAAGGCCACTGGTACAGATCAGGCACACACGTCGCAGGGCTCTCAGGAAGTCTAAGGAGAAGAACTCACTGATTGGCTGCCCTTCCAGGAAGTGGATGTTGTGAAGGGCCTCCCCATGTTTAGCTCTGAGATTGTCCAGCCAGTATTTGATTATGCTTTGACGTTCCTGTGATACGGAAAAGAACACGGTTCAATCTACAATAATGTTCATGTTACAAAAAATGTACAACCCAACTCCATGTCGATGTCTTTGAGGTGGCACTACTTTTAAATTTTACAAATGATTTATTTATATATTATTATAGTATTTATTAATATTTTTGAATTCGTTTCATTTTTATTTTTTGTAAAGTTTTATTTTACGTTTTTTTTTTTTTTTTACTTTAAGTTTTAGTAATTTTGTTATGCACTTCTGTTATTTTTAGAGTGTAATTTTAGTTTTAGTACTTAAACTTCAAATGACTTTATTTCAGTTATTTGCCAGATGTTTAAGTTTAGGTTTTATTTCAACTTTATTTCAATTAACATTAAATATGTTTTATATATTTAATATAATTTACGAGTGTAGTAATATTATAAAATATCAATTGTATAATTATTATTTAATAATTATAAGTTAAAATTATAATATATGTTTATTTGTGCTGTACAATCTTTTAAACATTTATATATATATATATATATATATACATATATATTAGAGCTGTCAAACGATTAATCACATCTAAAATAAAACACAGTGTGTGCTGTGTATATTTATTATGTATATATAAATACACAAACATACATGTATATATTTAC